GCTGGGGAATTCTGGGAGTTGAAGTCCACATATCTTAAAGTTGCCAAGGTTGAGAAACCCTACTCTAGACATATCCTTTAGCTAGAGATGTGTAGGATTTTTCTCATTTTTTAAAATCTTCCACATTGCTTGTATAATTCACTGACACTTGACTTTTAGCTTGCCTTCTGCCTACAACTGCCCCCTCTCTGTTCAGCCATACCCTCTTCTCATGTATTTGAACTCTTGTGCTGTGTTTATATGACAGGCTAAGCTGAAAAGCTTATTAATTGGCATTTGTCTGCCACATACAGTACCTCCCTCAATTATACACATTAATTTAATAAGTTCTGTGCCTTGCTGTGTTATCTGAACTTGAAATAGCTACTATTTGGGATTTATGGAAACTGAATTGTATAATCTAGAGAAAACCTTGGATATGATGGAGGTGTGGGTCCAGTGGCATTGATACTTCAGTATCTTGTGACCCACTAAATACAAGGGGGCAGTAGAATGTAGATACAGAGTTAAGGATTTATTCTTCATCCCCTCTATCACTCTGTCTATTCTTTATCTAACAGATTTTTAATCCAAAGTCATTTCCTCTTACCTTACCTCCCAAGCATACATGCATGGAGCACATGTTCTTGGATTTTCTTCCTTAAAGGATGTAATTACTTAAGTACTAGGCTTTGCCTATCCCTATAATGTGCTTCCTCAAATAAATAGCTTGTTATACTCATAACCCTGTTTCACTAATTATTGGCGAGATCATATTCTCACTCTTAGGCACACTCCCCTGTTGCAGAACACTTCAATCTCCAACAGGGTAAAGGTGCCAATTTCTAGAAAACCTGAAAAGTAGTCTTATTTATTTATTTATTTATTTATTTATTTATTTATTTATTTAATAAACAACAATGCTTTGTGTACATTGAGGTGTGATGGTGAAAACACCCCTTTTTTTTCTTGTTGGTTTACATAAACACTGCATTGATTTCCAGCCTAAACTTATTTATGTAGCTTAGGTGTGAAACCTTCTGCTCTCCCATGGAATTTTGGTCCCTTCTGCAAAATATCTTTAGGATTGCATCTTTCTCATCTTACTATTCTCATCTTACTATAATTAATCATTTCTAGGGCATGCCCTGTATCTTAATGTTCCCTATCTGAGACTAAATTTCATTGTCTCAGTATGAAGAAAGGAGGCATTCTACCCAAGGTCAGAGGTACTTTTTATCCATGTTGTCTTATGAAGTAAACCTCTGTCATGACATTAAAAAAAAAATGAATACTTCTGATAAATCTGGCACAACATAGGACATTTTTATGAAGTTGCCAGGGCCTCAGATCCCTCGCAATAGTTATTGCAGTGCTAGTGCTTACTCTGCCCCAAACATCTTTAAGCCACCATTTTAATTACTCTCCCATAATGAATCCTTGGGAGAGCACTGTTTAATTTCCCACAATGCTTTGGAGCAATGCTATACTCCAGTGCTTTTGGAAGGTAATTAAAATGGCAGCTGCAGGCTTCCCAGCACAGATTGCAGTGCTGCTTCATGACATTGTTTTAGTGTTGTGACTGTTAGGCAAGCCAACAGGCCTCACAATTTTAGGAACCGGTCAAAGGAGGCATTTTGTCCAGGGCCTTGACAAACCTGGAGCCAACCCTGTTGGGAAACACTGATACAAACTATTCTCTACCCTTCGTCTCAGAACTGATGGTTTCAGCAAAATGTTTTCTGCATTTGCTGTTCTATTTTAGCAGAAGTTTTATAATATATAAGTATATATGGGGGCTGGGGGAGGAATCCAATTTTGTTTTCATCCACATACTGAACAGTCTTAATTTCAATACAGGATGTTCCTTTCTTCATAGATTGAATTTGACTGCCTACTTTGCAGTCCCTTTCAAAAATAACTTCTCAGCTTACCCCCGCACTCTATGCCTGACTAAGAATTTGTGTTTGTAAAAATACCACACTCTGCAGTATATAAATGAGTATCTAAATACCTGCTCACAAATGTGACACTTTTTTATTTAAAGATAGGGCTGCAATCTGTCTCTGAGCTCAAACCATCTCATAGGATTGTGGCAGTGGAAATAAAATGAAGGGAGAGCCCCTTCAGGAAATCTTGGGCTCTCATAGAAAAGGACAGGATATAAATGAAAGTAATCAATATAGGTACTATGTTCGTGCAGTGCTTTGGATTCATGCCCAAAAAGGTGCTTTGAAGCACAGAAGGTTACAAATGTATCAAAAAATTGCAAAAGGGCTACAACACCATTTTTTTTTCAGAATCACACAAAAACTCTTGAAAAACATTGATGTTTTAGCATAGCCTTAAAAAATAGTATATGGGGATGATCTAATATTGCACAAAGAATTGAATTATCACGGTGCAGATAAATGTTCCCAGGCTATCTCTGTCTTGGAGGGTGGTCATAACTGAAGAGCCAGCCTCAAAAAATGGAAATGGCTTTATACCATGGCATCTCTTAGATCTTTAAAGATCAAGCCAGACCCGTCTTTATCCTCAAATTGTGAATCAGATATTTCAGGAGAAAATACAGATTCATTCAGAACCAAGGGCATGTCAAAATTCATCTACTAAAATTTTCCTTTCAGTCACCTATTCAGTCCAGCCTTTAATTCTATTCAATCGAGTCAGCCATTTTCTCACCCTCTAGATAGTGTTGTTTAGGTCTTAGTCAAACAGTCTCCTAACCATACTTCTACCAAAGTTTCTAATGCCTTCTTTTAAAAAAATTCTTCTGTGTAAGGATTTCTAAAAATAAGGGGGGGGGGAATCAGTTCTGATCCATC